ACCTTTCAATCGATTCTGCAACTTCGAGTGAAGGTCGGATGCATGGCCTATACTGAGACGAGATCGGACGATGACGATTGCCCCTTTTCTTATTGCTTACGTTGGGAGAATTTATTCTAGACACATTCGAGAGTTGCCAACGAATTACACTTGCAATGGTGAAGAAGGGAGCGGTTTCCAGGTGGCCGAGATCCGTCCTCGATAGATCCTCGACGCAAATATCTCCTCAACTAGAAAATGTAGAAGAAAGCTAAACAGACTGTTAGAAAGCGCAAACCTTCCGCTTTCCAAAACTGTCTTCCTTTTTCAAGATCTACGAAATTAGAGAGATATTGCCTTTTAAGTGGCAAAAACTCGCATGAAAAATTCAGCGTCCTCGACGCTGCCTCGACAAAATTTGAGAGACCTTATCTCTTCGCAAATCCAGCTCTATGGAATCTACCACATACTGGCTCAAAGTTTATTAATCGGGGGAATGGAACCTTTTCATTGAGAGTGTGGATTTCGACGGTATACAACTCGTCTCGCTGGTGCAACGCTCGTATCCAGCGATTCGCAGGCGAATCGCTGAGGTCGGTCAGACTCTGCGATTGCATCGCGGTGGACAAGCGATGGAGCGATCGCGTCGCTCCGGCACTGGTCCATCGCGATGCATTCAGAGTCTGACCGACATCTGAATTCGCAGTCTGGCACCAGCCTAATCCAGATCTTTACCCCATAAAGAGTCTACAAAACTGCTTATTAGTGGATCGGTCGGTAACTGCCTCGTAATTTCTATTCCAGTCTGTTTCACGTTGCATTGAAAGAAGGATGAACGCTGGATTATCAACTGTTCTACGTTGACCATTATTCTTGACGAATCTTTCTTCCTCAGTATGACCTTGTAACGATAAACCGGTGTAAAAACTTTAAAAAATATTTATAAAAAAAAACAAGATGAAAAGAGGCTCTTCCGAAATGGGATATAAAGGTTTTTCCTGGTGAGGATTCTATTAGTGATGTTAGAAGGAATCCTATGTTCTTGTTGTGGAATGATGAAATGCAGTATATGGTGATATGTGGTGACCAAACAAACACCACTTTCAGTAAGAAGCAAGTCAAAACACTGTGTTGTCTGAAAGTGACGAGAAACATAGCACATTTGGGAACCAGTTTTCACTTAAATTGTTTCAGCTTTCAGGGTTGAACAGTTTGCCTGACCGCAAGCAACTATTCTGCTTTCGCTTGAACAGGTCTGAAAGCAAAGGTGTTTTTGTGAAAAAGAAATTCACTCGAAGAGTCAAAGGGAAAGCAGCAACGAGCGGATATGGACGGATCGTTTTCCTGCTAGACTATACTGAATGCGATGTCGAACAGCCAAACAACGGTACGGATGGAGCGTGTTCGCAATATATGTATTTCCACACAGCTGAGTTTTCGTTTGGAATAGATTATAATTTTGCGTCAAAACTGTGGGAGGTTTTCCAAGTTAATAAATCAGCCCCCAGCCATGTCTGGTATGAAAACTGAAGTTTCTGCTGAACGGGCAATAGTTTGGAAGTCTATCTTTCGTCGCACAATTTCGAGAATATTTTATACAACGCGCAATCGAAACTACAGTTAGTGAATAATTGACCGAGAACGTTGTATGCCAACATTTTAGTGTTATCCCGCTGAACTCCAGGCTGTACTCGAATGATTTAGGTAGACTTTGAAAGGACATTTTAGAAATCGATTCGAACACTGAATGTTGTTCCAGTATAGGATTATTCGATTTTTTTCCAGGTTTATTCATCCAGTTTATTGTTTACTTTCTTCACTGACGGTTGGACGACAGTGTTCCAAGGACAACTGCAATAATTGATAGTGATGCGAACAACTTCCCGAAGATTTTGTTCGTAGCTTGTAATGGATTGCATACTAAATTCCATGCAAGTCAGATATTAATTTCTGGCACTTGAAATATACCTATTTGAAGACTTCATGTGTAAAACAAAACATATCTTCTGGAAACCATTATTGTCGAAGAATTCTTTTGACCAGTTGTGTTATTTAGCTAGGTTTTTCTTTTGAATTGGTGAATATGGCGATTGTGATATTCTTAGAGATAAACACAACGGCGGTGTGTAAGATGTGCAATCTTATAGCAGAACATATCCCGTTTTGATCAATATCAGCCGTAGACCTAAAGCCATGTGTTAATTACGCTTTGAAAATACGCATCATGGGCTGTTATAACTTTTCTTCTACCATGTCTCGTACGAAAGTTTACCGTGTTGTGCCCAAGCGCAAGATGAACTGCGCGGCGCAAAAGAGGTTAGCGAATTATATGCAAAATTTTGGTGCAGCAGCAACTTCTTCAGTCTTCAAGGTTGGCACCTTTTAGAATTTGCTACATGCTGTACTGATTTTTTGCTTCCTATCCAACAAGCATTGCTTCGAGTAGGTTTAATAAGCGTGCCCAAGACGGCGGAAATTCCCAAGGTATCCGCGAAGCAGCCGTTTCGACTGATTTCCACGTACAGGTTAAGATTTTATATATGTCCAAAGGGAAGAAGAAGAAAAAGGATAGCCCGATTTACCACAGTGCTGGCAAAGATGCGTACATTCCTCATTTTAATAGTACATACTCAGTGCAGGTGGTGCTGCTGCGGAACTCAGGGCGAGCAAGGCATCGTGAACACTATGCCGATCGTTTGGGGAACACTCATGCATCTAAACAAACGAAAAAGGTATGAGAGCGCGAATGGGTTTGTACGAGAATCATACCTAGCTCTAGTGGCATTCAAGTCATTTTCGCGGGAAGTTCGAAAACAAACGCAGACAGTGTTTCCGCAGTCACCTGCCAGGCACCAGTTCTACAGCTCCAAGATAGCGAACTGTCGTGAGGGACTTTACTTTGCGAGTTTCCCTTAAGAATGAATCGAAACACAACCCATCATGCTGGAGCGGCCTACCCCAAATTCATCGCCTCCAGAAATGGGTACTCTACACAAAGGATTGGTTATTACCCTTCTTGATGATAGGGAGGAGTGGGGTACATTATAGTGCATTTTGCATTTTGCGTAGGAGCACTTCTTAATTTTACTGAAAACTGTTCTCGTGAGCAGTGATATGTACATTCGATAGAGCCCTAAAAGAGAAAATTTTATTGTAGACTCAATATAGTACTATATAAAAATGTATCTCCGAGAAGCTAATTTTGAGAAAAGCAGTCACATCCTCGTGTTTTGCCTACCCTTCTTGCGCTACGTTCTCATGGTAAGTTAAAAGTTGCTCTAGGTTTATCGAACAATGTCAAAGCTGGCCGGGCTTGCAATCACATTTGAAATGCATAGCATAGCCCATTTGAAATGTTGCCATTATATCGTAATAGTATGGTTAGCGAAACTTTCTTGAGAGTGAGCGCGATCGATCACATTTATCTAATATTCACGGTTAAGCAGAGCCCAGCCCCACACTCGTTGACCAGGTAGAAAAATATGATAGAAATTAGCAAGGCGATTAATGGACTTGCCTGTGGAACAGGCCAGTTAGAATAGTGGTGCATTGCGTGATAATGTGAAGTTCACGAAAGGCCACTTTGTTCGATGATTTTCAATCCACCTTTCCAATAAGATTCGAAAGGAAATAAAAGAGAATTGATAGGCGAATCGTCGATGTCGTTGTTCAATTGATCTCGCAGGGGATTTCGCATAGACATGTTTGCATACACATGAGGCTCTTTGAGAGTATGCATTGTACCACAATAGCTGCTTTTCATACCATGAGATTTGCAATAGATCCGAAAGGTTTCGGACAGTATAAAAACCACGCGCTCAACGTCTTACATCGTGTTTTACCACCGGATCCAGTTAAAGTTTGGCCAGCGCTTTTCTATATGTACAATTACCTCCTGTCTCAGCTCCTACGTATCAGTAGACTTCTCAAACTGGATGAGTCGTTTCCATCGAATAAGGTCTAAAATTGACTCCTAAAACTATTGAAGACAGAATAATTGAATGAGGAAGAATAAAAATCTTCCCCTACCAGTTATTTGTCCTGGCACTGTTCGCTTGCTTAGCAAGCGAGCATTAGCAACACTTCTACTCCTTCCTGCCTCGAACCTCTTCAGCCTATTTCTTTGTCCTAGAAACAAATCTATCTCTGTTCTAACATGACCTTTTTTGAGGAACCTTGAGGAACGAAGCAGCTATCATGTGGCTTATTACATTTCGCGTGTGGGCGAATTACTAGGTAATAGCTCAAGCCCAGTAAACGTCATAACGGTTTTCCTATTGTAGTTTATCAGGGCCTTGAGTATTCGACCTATATCGTGGTTCCCATTTCATGTCGTTGATGGGGTTTGGAAATGGTATCTTTTCTCCTCTATCATGGATACGCATGGATACAAAACTCGAAGCAATGACCTTTCGCTGCCATGTTTTCTGCTCTGGGACGGTAATAAACTGCTTCGGAGAACGAGTCAGTGAGTGGCCTCTATGTCATAGGTAAACCATGGGATCCACATCACGCGTGCCTAGCCACTCGCTTCATCGGCATCTCCTTCGCAACTCTCCAGTGCTAAGTGGTGTACTGGCAGCAGTGCGATATAAGCAGTCACATTAAGGGATCGGATCCGAGTACGGCGTAGACATGGCTGGCAATATGCGAATGTTCGCCTCTTCGGCTACGATCACGTCACAATTTCCTGCTTCCTCCATCAATGGCCTTTGATGGCCACCTTTGTGATTGGATCCACACCACGTTATTACCGCTCTTGCTTTTGAGGGGAGGCAAAATAATAGCCAAAGTTATTACAAAGATATCACTCACATTATGGAGCTTGTTTTTTGTTAAACATTAGTTATGAACACGATGCGAATTATGATTAATTTTCTTTGTTGCGCGTATGTTCAGTCGTTGAAATTACCTCGAAGTGAATTACTTACGTCAAAAAAGTTGCTTTGCTGTCCATTATCGAGCGACACTGAATTCTGGTGTGATAGAGGGATTTGATTGGTGGCCAATCGATTTTACATAATCAAGGAAATGTAGGTGTCAAACGGTGTGGTGGAATGTATTAGGTTGTATAGAAAGTAGTAGTTCTTCACTTCCGTCTTCATAGCATTATATTCCAGCTCAGAGTCACCGATTTTAGTCATTCAAAAAACTATTGGGAATTTCGCGTCTTGTTTGCGAACTCAAAATATCGAACCGTGGTTGAGCAGAAATCGTGGGCATTTCTCACATTGCCTCGGTTTTTGAACCTTTTTCTCACGAGAAAGGTTGCCAAGATGGCGAAGAAAGAGGAACTTGGTGAGAGAGAGTAGAGAATCCCGTCAGTGAAATACTTTCGAAGCAAAGCTGGATAGGTCGATCCGTTCCATTCCTTGCGAGGTCTTTTGTGTCGCATGTCGCTGGTCGCCAACATGAAGAACGATTCTCCTTTGCTAGGACACAGATCTTACTGTATCCGGTGCACCACGCCGATGTGATAGATAGTCATTTGGATGCAGCATCCAGCACAATGATCTCCAGAAATTTGTTGATGCTCATTATTTTTGGATTGACGCGAATACCATCGTGCGTGAGTCCCCACTTAGGAAATTTCTGTTCTTACGAGAAAAAAGATTTTGTGTGTTACTCGATTATTCAATAGTGCTGGGAAAGAAGCGATTACGATAAGGAATTTCTGCATCGGAACCGGCTCCACATGGAGCAATTACTTGGCTGCCAAGGAAGCAATGTGTGGCGCTTCCACGGCGAAAGGTGCTGTGGTTGCTGAGCAGGACCTCCGCAGCGCTCCGCCCCCAGCAGCGTTACGCCCACAAGTTGACTTGTTGATTTGGACGAGCTGCGTGACCAGCAGCGGCGCAAATGGAGTATCTCGATTAAAGCGTACTTTGGCATGGTTCCATCAAATTCGTTGCGGTGAACTCGTTCATACGTCCTCTTTCTTAGCTGTTACCTGTTCACGAGTTGAAACCAATGGCCAAAAAAGAGGGTCCCGTTTTGTGTTTTCTTGACGGATTTTTCTGCTTTTTTCGCTGCTGGGGTACCATTGAACACCACCACGTCACACTAAACCCTTCTTGAACTTATCGTAACCGCTTACCTTAATTTCGTTGCAAAAAATCCGGTTATCGTCGAGGATGACAATATCTTCTCGTTAAATAGAACGAGTTGTGACGAGATCTCTGATGAGCGACTTTGCTGCTGCTTCGTCAGGTCATGCGTACCTATTTGTCCAGTTTTCTTACCTTCCCAAGTACCTTAAGAAGCTCCAGAACCTTTGATGTGTTTGTTCCAGGTTGTGCTTTTAACCATAGTACACTTGCTTCAGATTCTTCTTCGGGTGCTCAGAAGGTTGTCCTCAATAGGAGAACGACGCCCGTAACTCCCTCACTTTATCGAGTTTCTTACATTGAAAACTTCGGAGCCATTAAAGCAGTGTGTTGTTGGTGAAATCATAGCTCCTCACAACCATTCTATTCCAAGTTGTCTATAGCATTCTCTTCGTGTTTAAACTCATAGGAGTAAACTTTCGCGAATCACTGCTCCAAGGTCTTCTATCCAACCATCAAAAGTGCAAGAATAAAAGTACCGCGTTGTTTCAAATTACAATAGCAATTTAGGAGAGAATATGGGCTTTTCTTACGCCGATATGCAACAAACAAATACAGAAGGTTAACAAAAATTCCCCAGAAAAATGTCTGATAAAGTAACACATCGAAACCCGCATTACTTTCCGGTCAACTAATACAAGACCATGAAAATCCATTTCAAGGTATACACCATTGGAAGGTGGGACAGCGTACATCAATGAGGGAAAGATGCTCGCGTGTTTCATGCATTCGACATTTTTACCAACCTCTCTCCCCGCACTTGACCACCTTCTTGGAGTTTTGAGGACAGTTTCAGTAACGTGCAAGTTCAGCAACACTATTGGCACCATAATTCTGACGTCGTTCAAATGATATGTTTGACTGAGGGTGCTTTGAAAGGCGAAACGTTTTGTCGATCAAAAGAGAAGGTTTAAGATTTCCAACATTGACGCAGCATGCGAGCAGTGACTATTCTCATCTCAGTCCTGATTGGAGCATATGGAGCTAGCTGGTATCCCATCGACAGCAATACCGCTCGATCTGGAATTCATTACTACAAGGTTGGTTTGTTCCCTGAAGAGGTTTTTGAGGAAACGCCTTATGATGGTAAATCTCCTTTTTCATGTCATTCTTAAATAATTAACTTCCTGGAAAACTTTTGAAGGGTCTGGCTTCGATCGGCATGAAATGTACGGAATGCATATTATTCCATATTTTTACAGATCTATAATTTTGAAGCATCATTCTATGAAGCTGAGGACCTGTGTGTGGCGGAGGGCGGACATTTGGCTTCCATCCATAGCCAGGAAGAAAACGATCTCGTTTACTGTAAGCGCAATTTTTACTATACACGCATTACACGATAGCATAAGCAAAGAAATGAGGGTAAAATATCTTGAAATAAAGGGGAGTAGGGGAAAATGACCCACCAATGCGAAAAAAAGAAAAGGAAAGTCAATTATAATTGGAAAAGAGGCTTTTGGTGGCGGAGAGTGCGTAAAGGAGAAGAAAGGTTAAGGACAGCTTGGTTATTTGAGTTACGAAACGAGAAAACAGAAGAGAAGACCGACACGCAGAAACACTAGATCATTTCAATCGCGGAAGCGATTGCTCCAATGGAATTATTCTTTAGGTTCCGCAAAACAGTAGCCGCGATATCAGTGTACTCCAGCTGGAATTCCCAAAAAAAGTCCAGCCGTGTTTAGATCCAGACACCTTCAATTGAAATAGGAAGATGTGCTCCACAAGTGGTTTATACACAGGGTCAACCCTGCGTTGCGCAAATTCCAAAATTTTTACGACCCCCTTCCTTTTCGGAGGGTATCGGTACGACCCCCCCCCCATATTAACTATTGTCTTTCACATAATTTAATGCTCATCATTGATGTATGGGCAGTCACCAACATGGAGAAGTGGTGGACCGTGGTCAATCCGCGCGCTCTTGTCTCGCTCAGAGGAGGGAATCGAGGCAACATGAAGTTTTATTCATTAAATAGAAGGAATTTCCAAATTTTTGCGTAAACCAATACATCATTTTAATCGTAAAGATTTCTACTTTCAGAAACCTACCAAGTTTTTTTCGATCTCTCAATTTTCCTTATTTTATAATCTGAAAAACTAAACCTTGTAGCAATTACGTTGCAATACAAACCCCTCCATTCAGAAGGTTATTTTTTTCAGAAGCGGTCTCATGGAACCGGACACCAAAATTTCAAAATTCAAATAGTTTTCTTCCTAAAAAGTATTTGAAATGTTGCGGATGTTCAATATTTCAAAAAATCGTCCCGTTTTTTGTGCACACGCGAGTTTTCGACATTCAAACATTCATAACTTTCTTCATAATCAACTTTTTGCAGATGTCTAAGGCTAATTAGAAACTAGAAGATTAGAGCTTTCGAATAAGTGCTAAAACTTTTAAATAATCACTCGCTCAAAAAATAGTCCCGTTGTTCCGTTTTCCACCTTGATTTTTTTCAAGCCATTTTCCTGGACCGCGACTATGCAGTCTTCAAAGGCCCATAACTTCCTTCAAAATTAATGTGATGAGAAGCGGTAAAGACTGTTAGAATCTACGCGAAGAGTACTTCATAAAAGTGTAAATTTCCCTGAAATTCTTTCTTCTGCCTTAATTTCCTAAGGGGTTTCTAGAACTCAATTCAGCAAGTTCGCTACACTTTGTTCCGCTTAGATTTGATTTGAAAGCATCAAAATTCTCTTCAGAAAGTTTGTCTGCTTACGGCCGCTGACAGAGAAGGCGTTTTTGTGGGAAAACGCCTGCTCGGGCTTAAAGCAACAATTGTAGAGCGAATTCGCGAGGTAAAAATCGTTGATAATGTAGTTTTTGGATCAAAAGTTGACCGATAGTAAAGAAAAACTGAAGAAAAACGCCGAACAGGGCCTCAAACAGGGACTCCCCTTAGCAATGAAGGAAGACGCATGTTGGACGAGTTGTCTGAACTCTGTCCACAAAACCATCAATCACTATCAACCAACTCATAAAACTGCAAACATAATGTGAATATGGTAAACAGAGAAATAGAGTAAAGCAACTAGAAAGCAAGGAAAGAGTATAACGAATTTCAAACAAAAAAGAAAGAATTCCAGCGCAGCCGCGTCACATTGATTACTTTAAAGGACAGAGTTCAAATACCCCTGTGGTCCCAAACGAGCACGAATGCCTCCGTAGCCAATCACGGCTGGCAAGTGGGCGGTCCCGAAGAAATTTCCAACCACACCCATCTTTCCAAAGGGGCCTGTAGTATTGAAAGAAGCAGACCCTGCTGGGACTATTGCTTTAGATCGTGCATTTATCTGTAGTAAGAAGTCGCACTCGCATTTGAAAGTCCTCCATTTTCCTGAAGAAGGTGTTAGTATCGTGATTGAGTTGCTGTTATATGGTACTCTTGTTTCACTTTCCCATGAACTGCTCTACACTTTGTTCTCCTTGGGATTTCAGGAATGTTCGATCATCGAAGACAGACCATGTTTTTGCACTGCTGTAACAAAGTTTTTGGCTATTGTAATCTTGATCTATGCTGTCGAGCGAAAGCGCCGTCCGTGTATTAAGGATAATAATGGCTGATAGTGAGACTTATAATGCTCTGCATGCTCTAATGCTCCCATGGAGCTCTTGTCTGTGTGACTCTCCGACAGCTGCACGGTGCAGAGCTCCTGGAGAACATTAGAGCGTGAAAGTGCACTCCCGGACACTGCACTTTTCAAGCCGTCTTGCAGCCCGTCTCTCTGGATACGACCCCCTCCCTTTCGGTCGGCTGAATACGACCCCCTCGTTGTTCTTTGCGCAACGTGAGAGAAACTGGATGAAAGAAAAAGGATTACAAGCAAATAGCACTGAAAAACGGAAAATGTGAGCAGCAGTCTTTACAATATAAAAAATCGAAGTAGAAGATGCATTAGTCGGAGTGCGCGCGCAGAACAGCCTGACGGCCCACTAGCAGGCACAAGAACAGAAGGAGCCGTTGAAGACTATATAACGACTATGCATTATGACTAAAGTAAAATTGGAAGTTTAGACCACTTTCAAAAATGCAAAATTTTAGATATTTGAAAACTGACCCGAAGATCAGATTGAGTCGAGCACCTTGCGAAAAGGAATAGATGTGATTCAAATTGCACTTATCCGGATTCCTTTCCGAATATTCCGGATACCTTTCCGAATAAGAGAAGCTAATTGAGCAATACATATAGAATCTTTCTTGAGGATTTTCTTGAGAGCTGATTTCAAAAACAACTTCAAAAATGCGATCGACCGAAAACTGTCAAACCTACGTTTGATGCATTCCCATTGAAATGTTGTAACTTTCACTAGCCTGTTGTGGCTTTCACCAGCCCGTGAGAGAATTTGAATGAATGGGTAATGGTCATCAGGTTTGGCGAGACACCAGATCATAGAGATGATCAGAAACTTGTTTTGTCAGTGAACGAGAAAGGTTTCATTACTTTAATCATATGTTTCATTTACTAAATTCTATTCCATTCGATTGGTACATTTTCAAGTTTTCTGCTTCCAGGGCTGATGACCAACAACGAGCCAACAATAAAAGAGTCTGATCAAGCGTGGATAGGTCTGAGAAGGAAGCTGCTTCTGTGGAATCACCTCGCGGAAGACCAAAAACGAAGCTACAGTGCGTGGACCTGGACGGATGGCTCTCCAGTTGACTATTTCGAGTGGGAACCCGCTCAGCCAGACAACTTTGCAAAGAGCGAATCATGCGTACAGGTTCTTATTTCTTAATATGACAAAAAAGACATTTAAGACTCCAATTACTCACTGTATGAAAATTACAATATTTCGCCAAATACCCTCTTCAAGGCTATAACTACGATGATTATCATATTCAAGAAATTTTCTTCGCTAACTGAACTTGGTGAACGGATGGATCGAGCAAACAGTGCAAAGGGTGATGGCGTGTCGTTGTGAAAGACGCCTCAGAAATGACGTGTTCACACTTTAGGCTGAAATTACTTCCCGTGAATGACTCCCTTTTCA